TTAAAAATTAGTTTGTAGTTTATAGAACTATTCTGATGTTTTTATTTATTTGGCAATTGTTAGGTAATATTTAGCTGCTGCTTATGAGAGCTAAGAAAAATACGCTGAATGTGTGAGTGTTGGTATTTTGGGTTAATTTGTAAGTTTGATGAAATACGTACCCTCTTAAAGTTTGTAGTTCGCAGGAAACGCTGCTCGTGACAACAAAAAGACGTTTTTCATCCCCTGTGGTTTTGATGATCATCTGAAGGTGGAGTTTGAACAGCAGTTTGAACAGTTCTACGAGAAAGTCACCATCCTGTTCATGTTGTATCACTTCAATTGGAGCTTGACACCATGGAACACAGAGCAGCAACATGTCCTCTTTGTTTTTTTCAGGCAGTTCTGAATAGCATGTTATCCAGTGGTATGAAGGTGGAGTTTGAAGGACAGCTTGAACAGTTGTACGAAAAGGTGACCATCCTGTTCATGGTGTATTTCTTCAATTGGAGCTTGACACCATGGAACACAGAGCAGCAACATGTCCCCCACAGTTTATACATTTGTAGAAGAAGGTGACCAGTTTTCTCAGGTAGTTAGCCTGAGATTTCATCTCCTGAAGATTGAAGAAAATATTAAAAATTAGTTTGTAGTTTATAGAACTATTCTGATGTTTTTATTTATTTGGCAATTGTTTGGTAATATTTAGCTGCTGCTTATGAGAGCTAAGGAAGGAGTGTTGGTGTTTTGGGTTAATTTGTAAGTTTGATGAAATACGTACCCTCTTAAAGTTTGTAGTTCGCAGGAAACGCTGCTCGTGACAACAAGAAGACGTTTTTCATCCCATGTGGTTCTGATGACTATTTTTAGAGAGAGAATGCATTGATGAGGACAATGAATTATCCAGTGGTATGGAGGTGGAGTTTGAGGGGTAGGTCGGACAGTTGTACGAGAAGGTGACCATCCTCTTAGGCAGGTGGCCTAAGATTTCACCTCCTGAAAATTGAATAAAATATTAGGTATAATAGTATCTGGGCAAAGGAAATTACGCTGGTGCTTTTATTTATTTGTCAACCGTTATGGAATATTTAGTTGAATGTGTGAACTGTATTACGTAGCTCTTACAAAATACGTACCCTTTTAAGGTTTGGAGTTGGAAGGAAACGCTGTCCGGGACAACAAAAAGACGTACTTCATCTTGTGTCGTTTTGATGATCACTTTAAGAGACAATGCCTAAATGAGGATAACGAAGACGTCTCTATCGTTTGATCTTCCTATGAACCGCACGTCCGTCTGTAAATTTATATTTTAAACATGTGTTTATATAATTACTGTTATATTAATTTGTAGTAGATCATATAGATCACGTACTTGCCTTCTTTCAATTCTTTAATGATTAAAGCTTATGCTTCTTATTTAAAACAATGTTACTGTTTATAATATACTGTTATATTTGTTGTCTTGGTTATTCTTGTATTTTTCTTCATTTCTTCTTAACTTGGTTTTCGTCATAGAAGTAGTATCTTTGGTCAAGAGATGGCGTTCATTTCGCTGCGCATGCGCAATTGAGGAAAGTTGTGTCTTTGATATGTTATTTCTTATTATATTATAAAATTTAATTTATCACAGTTTATTAAATAAACCATATTATAATTAAAACAATTGTGTGTAAAACTCCTATTACAATACAAAAAGCAAAAGTGTTATGTATAGTCAAATTTTTTCCTGCGCATGCGCAGTTTGGCAAAGTTGTGTGATTGATTATTTTTATTTTATTATAGTATAAAATCAAATTAATTATAGTTCATGAGATAAACTATATTAAATTTAAAAAAATTGTATGTAAAACTTCTATTAAAAGAAAATTACCGAAAATGTTGTGTATAGTTGAAATAAGGTAAGGTAGAATGGTGTTTAACCTCAAATTCGTAGTGTGCTATATATAAAATTGTGATTTGTTATTAAAAATGTATACAAAGTGAAAAAAAAGTTCTATTATTGATTGGTTACTGGGTCAAGACCTGTAATTTGGTTATATGCAATAAACTGTACGTGCTGTGGTGTCTGAGCTGAAAGTGGGGTATAAATTAAACCGTACTGAGCACAATACTCGTTCTTCCACCTCCGATAGAAGATGATGATGGAGGTAAAGAACGAGTAACAAGGTTTGGCTATTAACCAGATGCCTAAGTTACAGATAATAAAAATAAGCAGGTTCAAGGCATTCCTTTTATGCCCCCGAAAATGCTCTTAATCCAGAACATCTGCCAAAGCAGTTAATTTGGAGAAAGTTTTTGACCACTCCATTAAGCTACACATAACTCCAGAATTAATTGGTATAAAAATAATTACAAAGAATAATTTAAATCATGCAGTGTCACGCTGATATTCTGAAATTCTGGTACCCAATGTCTTAGTTGGTGTGGAAGAAACAACATTGGGATTGATTGGCCAGGTAGCTAAACTATCCTCATAACCCATTTTATCTCGTGTAAGTGACAAACCAAACATAGAATTAGTTCCACTCTGAAAAGTAACAGGATCACAGCTAGACCTAGTTCCGTAACCAGTATCCTGCGACATCATATTAGATGATGCTGCATGCTGTGAATATGAAAAGTTAGTCACCTCATGTTGATAAGTGACATCAGGCAATGGTTCACCTTCTCTCCAGCCCTCTGTCTGACTAGAAGGTTTACTTTGTGAAATATCCATCATATTGTGAGCTGAAGATAAATCCATGGATACATTAGTTTTCACGGGAGTAGAAGTTTGGGAAATGGACATGGCATCACTAGAACAATTGAGAGAATTTCTCTTATTTCTTTTGGCCCATTTTACACCAATTTGTGAATGTTCCAGTTCCACAACTTCAGGGGAATCTTTGTCATGTAGAGGTGCAGTTCCTTTGAGACAGAAAAACAATTAATAGAACAGTGTATGGTAGAGAATAGAAGTTTTCAATACTATTAACAATGCAGTGAAGCTCACCAAGAGGAGAACAAGCCCCAGCCTGGGCTATCAAATGAGTTTGCCTGGGAGTACTTGGTGGGTTCTGTATTATAGAAACATCAATTGACATGTCATCTGTGTCTCGAGTGAAGTCAAGTCTTGTAGCTGATTTGACTCGTCTCATTGGGGTAACTCCACTGTGTACAGGGGAAATGCCTGGTGGTGACTGAATTTGGTTGTTACCAGGTAGGGGAGTGCCAAAACTACGCCCTTGAAACTGAACCAAGGAATGACTGACAGATCTGTAATACAGGATACAACCACAGTAATTTTGATCTTCAAGTATGCAAAATGTATGGATATAGAAAACCAAATTAATTTACAGAGAGTTGAAAGTTCTAAAAAGTAATACCCATGAGTAATGCTGAAATGTGAAGGTTGCATTGGAGTGGCTGGAGCTGGAGATGGAGAAGAATCCGATTGGAAAAATAGTTTACGGCGAAGAGATGACGTGCTCATAGCACCTTCGTCTCCTTCTGTTGCTTGTTGAGCTTGTTGCTGATCCTAATATATAACACAGAATTTTAAGAGAGCACATTACACATTAGATTAGATCAACATTTAATTAATATAATTTATGTCTGATGGCAATATTACCTGAGTAAAAGTAAAGAATGGTTTCAAAGCCAACTCCATACTAGGAGGAAGTACTGGTGGTAGTGTTAAAGTTGTTTGGGTCCAAACTAGAAAAAAATAATAATGATAAAATAACAACTTAAGAACCAAATTAACATTTTAAAG